CGTAGTAAGTAGTGAATAGTGCGTATCGGGTTGCGAGTAGGTCGTCGGGATTAGCGAGTAGTGGGTAGCGACTATTGTGTAGGGAGCAGGGAGTAGGGAGTAGCGAGTAGCGAGTAGTGGATAGTGAGTATTGAGTTGTGGGCAGTGAGTAATGAGAAGTGAAGTGTGAGTACTGAGTAGTGGGTACTTGTTAGTGGGTAGTGAGTAGTGATTTGTGATTAGTGAGTAGTTGGCGGTGAGTTGTGTTTAGTGTGAGTATTGAGTAGTGAGTATGGAGTAGTGAGTAGTGAGTAGTGGGTAGTGGGTAGTGAGTCGTTGGTAGTGAGTAGTGAGTCGTTAGTAGTGAGTATCGAGTAGTGAGAAGTGAGTAGTGCGGAGTGAGTAGTGAAATGTGGGTAGTGAGTAGTGCGTGATGAGTAGTGGGTGCTGTTTTGGGCTAGGGTTTCGGTTTGGGGTTAGGGTTGGGGGTAGGGTAAGGGTGAGGATTAGTGTTAGGGGTGGCCGGGGTTGGGTTCCGGAAACCGGGGGCGCCGTGGCGAAAGGGGGGGTGGGGTTCGAATTTGGCGGCCAAAAGGGTGGGGGGGCGGGGGTGGGGTCAGAATCCCCATCCCCCTCTTTTGAAAGGGGGGGAAGGGGGGGAGGGGGTTCCCCGACGACGGACCGGCAAAGGGGGTAAGGGGGGGGGGGGTCCCGACGACAGATCGGGAAAGGGGGGGAGGGGGGCGGTCCCCGACGACGGATCGGGGAAAGGGGGGACGGGTTCTCTCCCCCCCCTTTGGGGTCATCCAGCGGCGCGCCCTCTGTATTATACTTATAGCAAGGTGTAACTGTTGCGAGCGCCCTAAATTTTGGTAGTTCGATTTGAGTATTTTTGTTCGTGCGGTGTAAGTCTATCTGCGCTACTTTTAACAATTTCCCTTACTTAGCCCTGCGGGTGAACTGACACATTAGTTATTGATAAGTAGTTTCTTCGAACTTAGGCCACGTTACTTAGCATTACTTACGTAAGTGGATTGTAAGCTGTTTGCGCAGGCGGGGGAGGAGGAGGCGGAGGAGGGGGATGAGCAACAGGGGGAGAAGGGGGAGAAAACCAAGGCAGGGAAAAGGAGGACGCGGTGGATGGGAACGACAAGGCACCTCGCCACTTGGGCACCACCTTCTCCCCGCCATCTCTTAGTCTTCCGAAGCTAAGACCGCCCCTCTCCGAGTCCAGTCTGAACACCTCCGTGCCAACACGGCGCATGTAGAGCAATAGGTTGCATCATCCATGGGTTTCGCCGTGGATTGTGCCACAGGTTGCGCCATGGATTGCACCATCCATGGGTTGACGCGCCATGGGTTGCTCCGTTTGGATTGCGCCATGGGTTACGCCATCCATGCGCTGCGCCATAGGTTGCCCCATTCACGGGGTGCGCCCCAGTTTGCGTCATGGATGTCGCCATCCATGTTGCGCCATCCATGGCCTGAGAGGTTAGGCCGTCGGCTGCCAAACATAATGCTGCCTGATGTTTGTAGCGCCATGGTGTGTGCCTTCGGCGGCCGGAGATGTACGGCTTGCTATTGGTTGCGCCCTCGACGATTGAACATAAAAGACGGCATGCCAATAGTTGCGCCACAAGATGCGCCCCTGGCGACCGAACATCTAACGATTGCTCATGGGTGTGACCAGCCAGTGAGCGCACATCAGTAACAACAGATTTGGGCTACACCCGAAATGAGGAGGCGGATTGGGAGCCAAACAGGGACTCGGGGCTCAGCGGGATCGGGTCAGGGAGATGGATTTGGAGGGAAGGTGGGATCTACTCTTTCCCCGCCTTCGCACCCGACCCCTCTTTGTCACTTTGCTCCCCAATGTTCGGAGGTTGATCGACCTCCTACTCTGACGCGTCGATTAGCGAATTGGCCGTTTTCGGTTCGCGAGATGGCGTCACGGCCGTCATTTTTGCGGGCCCAGGTCCGTCTGTTTCGGTCCTAGGCCGTCTTCACTCAAGGGTGGTTTACTACAGGGAGGTTTGTCCACCGCCGAATTGTCCTCCTCCCTCCCCCTGTTCTCCTCACGCTGCTCCGTCCCCTGTTTTATCCTCGCGCTCCTCCGCTACTGTGTGCCCTGCCTCTTTCTCCTCGCGCTCCTCCGTGTCCTGCGCCTCCACTCCCCGCTGAGATACTTGCCCACCTAAGTAGCCTGGCTAAGGTACGTAGCTTCAAATGGTATCCTTTTGGTATCCTGTTTGTTATCATTGTTGTCCGGTGTTATTGTTATCCTGGCTGTCAGCGCAACATGGGGAAACAACATGATCACACATGACAAAACGCATGTGACGAAGGCTAAAGTATACCAGCATGTCATCGCACTTCACCCTTTGTTATCATGTTGCTATCATGTGGTATCCGTTCGGTATCCTACTTTGCCCTGGCGGCCAGGACAATGAAGGTTAGCACAAGGATGCTAGAAGGATATCATTTGAGCTACTTACGTTAGTTAGGCTGCTTACCATGACCCCAGCAGTATTTACGGCGATCGCAGCCGTTTTTTTTGCGATCGCGCTCGCTGTTCTCTTGCATCGTTGTCACAATTCTCATCCTCACCACCCTCACCTTTTTTAGGCTGCTTACCATGACCCTAGCAGTATTTACGGCGATCGCAGCCGTTTTTTTGCGATCGCGCTCGCTGTTCTCTTGCACCGTTGTCACAATTCTCATCCTCATCACCCCCACCCTTTTCCCTCCTCCCCGAAGCGATCACCCGAACGTGATCGCAGTTGCCCCACTCTCTCCTGAGCGCTGGTCCCCCGACCCCTCCCCCTGGTCCCCTCCCCCTCCTTGTCCGCCCCAGCGACCGCCATCGCGGGAGGAGGAGGAGGAGGAGGAGGAGGACGAGACGGAGAGAGGAGGAGGAGGAGGAGGAGGAGGAGGAGGAGGAGGAGGAGGAGGAGGAGGAGGAGGAGGAGGAGGAGAGGAGGAGGAGGAGGAGGAGGAGGAGGAGGAGGAGGAGGAGGAGGAGGAGGAGGAGGAGGAGGAGGGGAGGAGGAGGGAGGAGGAGGAGAGGAGGAGGAGAGGAGGAGGAGGAGGAGGAGGAGGAGGAGGAGGAGGAGGAGGAGGAGGAGGAGGAGGAGGAGGAGGAGGAGGAGGAGGAGAGGAGGAGGGAGGAGGAGGAGGAGGAGGAGGAGGAGGAGGAGGGAGGAGGAGGAGGAGGAGGAGGAGGAGGAGGAGGAGGAGGAGGAGGGAGGAGGAGGAGGAGGAGGAGGAGGAGGAGGAGGAGGAGGAGGAGGGAGGAGGAGGAGGAGGAGGAGGAGGAGGAGGAGGAGGAGGAGGAGGAGGAGGAGGCATAATGGAGAAGGGATGGGGTATGGTGGCAGCAAGATGGAGATCGAGGAGGGGGGATGGGAGAGCGACGCAGGAGTTGGAAGGAGGGAGGGCGGGCGGGCGAGGATGGAGGGAGTGAGACCGAGGATGGGGGGAGGAGTGTGGAACGCAGGAGGGGAATGGACGGGGGGTGCAAGTGGAGGGAAGCGGAGGGCCATGATAATGGAGGAACGGGGCGGGGAGTGAGAAAAGGGGGGTGGGCGTAGCGAAGTGAAGGGTGTAGGGAGGGAACACGGACGGAGTGAGGGGAGTGGGATGAGGAGGTGGTAAGGACGGGTAAGAGTTACAACGGGGGCGGGCAGCGAGGATCATCACAAGACAGATCATCGCTTGGTCCCAGCGCCAGCCCAAACGCGAGCATACATCGGGCGCGCGCCTGTAGAATGGGCCCCGTCGGCCTGCTCCTCGGCATTGGTATCGTCGTCGTCCTTCTCCTCCTCCTCCTCCTACTTCCGCTTCTCCGTAGCTGAGGCCGCCTCCGAGGCCAGCCTGGGCACCTCTTTGCAAGCACAACACACGTTGATCAAAGGGTTGCCCCGCCCATGGGTTGCGCCATGGCCGTGCCATCCATGGATTGCGCCATGGGTTCCGCCATCCATGGGCTGCGACATATAATGTTCCATGGGAGGCACGGGGGAACGGACTGGAAGGGAGGCGTGGCGCGATGTGGAGGAGTGGGCCTCTCAGCACTAGGAGCTGAATCCTATATCTATATTCGATATATATATATGTATATGTATAGGTATTTGTATATGTTTACTCCTAGCTAAGATACAGTGATCGCTTAAGTAACGGACAAGGCAGCCTGAGTAATTTAGTAAGTCGCATACAGGTAGCCCTAAGTAACCAGTGTAAGTCGTTGAGGTCTCCAGCTGCTTTTTAGCCATGGTGCGAGTAGCATAGAGCATAGGAAACCTACTCCTCTCACAGTGGGGCCATTGATCTGAGGCGAGAACTTCGTATGTTGCTAGAAGTGCCCCTGGCACGAGGTGCCCCCAGGACTTCCAAGTAGGCTCCCACGGCCTCCAGAGCACCCCTCACGAGGCCCAGAGGGCCCCAACGGTTCCAAAATCTAGCAGACAGCTGGGGGGACCTTGGGCCAGGTGCACCTTTAGCAACCCCCGAGAACTGGCCCTAGGGTCGATGCTAAAAAATCTGACGTTTCGGGAACGGCCAGTCGGTCAAGCTTGAACAATCCCCGCGGTGTCAGAAACCAACGCCTGTGTCGTCACGACACGAACCTGTTGTACTCCGAGTTCCTGAATAAGCGTCGGGGGGGCGTCACCCCCGCCGATAGCCCCACATCGACCCCCATCGCGGGCAGCCGCCTCGCGCCGAAGGCGCTCCGACACCCGTCGCGGCGCGACGACGAGGCGAGGTTGACCCCCGTCGGGGGGGTACCCCCCCACGCCTAATACCTAATAAGAGACTCATAGTCGGCTCTCGAGACACGTGACACGTCGATGAGTGAATTGTCCGTTTTCGGTTCTCGAGAGGGCGCCGTGGCCGTTATTTTCCAGGCTTGCGCCCGCCAGGGTTGGGCCTCAGGTCGTTTTCACTAAACCACGTTTTACTACAGGGGGTTCTGCCCATCCCCGACTCATAGGTCGGCTCCTGCAGACTGACCTCGCGCCCAGGAGCCGACCATCCAGCCCAGCGGCTCCATCCGCGGCGGCCCGGCCTCGGCGCTCCGAGCCTACGAGCCCGGCGAGGCCCTCGGCCGAGCTCCGCCGCAGGACGAGGACGAGGACGAGGACGAGGAGGACGAGGACGAGGACGAGGACGACGACGACGAGGACGACGACGACGAGGACGACGACGACGAGGACGACGAGAAGGCGGATGAGGAGACCCGGCTGCTGCTTCGACCGCGGTGCGATCTCCCATCTGCCGCAAACCAGGATAACGTCTATCCAGTCCTTCCAGGGGGCCCCTCGACGCCACGTCTGGGTGCTCCGAAGTCCTGGCTGGAGCGCGCTCCAGGATACGTCCGAAGATTCGGATCTGGGGGGCGCGCTCGGGCGGACGCCGATGACGACGGCGAGGAGGACCAGGTGCTTGCCATTGCTTGCCCCTCTGGGGTCTATCAGGAGGGGGGGCCCGTGTCGCCATGGCTTGGCCCGCCTCGAAGCCATAGCCAGAACGCGCTGCAGCTGAGGCCCACGGGTCGATTTGAGAAGGTCGGTGGGCGACGTCGAGGACCACGCCGAGGAGGAGGAGGAGGACGAGGAGGAGGACGAGGATTAGAAGGATGAGAGGAGGAGGAGAGGTAGGATGGAGGAGGAGGAGGAGGAGGAGGAGGAGGAGGAGGAGGAGGAGGAGGAGGAGGAGGAGGAGGAGGAGGAGGAGGAGTCTTGGAGATTCTTGGGTGCCTCTTGAGCCGTCTTCGGTCATCTTGGCGTCATCTTGGCTGCCTCGAACGCCGTCCTGGAGGCCATGAGGCTTCGAATCAGGCCTCAAAACAGATACAGAGGCCCCCCAAGACGGCCCAGTAAGTCTCCAAGATGCCCTCCAGGAGAGCCCGAGGAGGCCCAAACCATTGATTAGCCTTCGGCTTTTGAGAATTTGAGGTCCTGGCATGTTTGGGTGTTCGACCGCCCAACACAGTCCACGAGGCCTCTCTGGGCCGTCTTGTTGCTCCCTGGAGCACTTCAAGGCCGTCTTGGGGCCCTCTTTGGGAAGCCCTTGGGCGATCTTTGGGTCCTCTTGGGCCGACTTTGGGAGCTCTTGGGGGCCTCTTGGGCTGTCTTGGAGCTATCTTGGAGGCCTCTTGGAAGCCCCATGGGCCGTTTTGGGTGGTCGGAATCCCGAGCAGGTGAGAATCTCAAAATCCTTTCATCAACTTGGGGAAGCACTAATGGTTATGGTCCCCTCGGGCTCTCCAGAAATGCCTCGTGGAGCTCTCTCGGGCCGTCTCGGGGGCGTCTTGAGCCGTCTTGAGGCCCTCTTGGGCTATCTTGAGCCATCTTGAGGCGCTCTTGAGAGGCTCTTGAGCTGTCTTGGGCCATCTTGAGCCGTTTTCTTGTCTTCTTCGCTGTCTTGGAAGCCGTCTCGGAGGCCATCGTGGCCGTCTGGAGGCCGACATACCGCCAGAAAGCAGTTTCAGAAGGGACGATGTTTTAGGGGCGCCTGCGAGGAGGGTGGGATGTCGTTTGAATTTCGTGACGCTCCGTGTAACCCCACCAGCGGCAGGATACCGGTCTGGCTTCCCACCTGTGGGTCCGGCCTGTGCCTGTGGCCGCCTCTCTTCCTAATTTGCTTTGCATGTGCATTCCGCGCGTCCTCGCGCTAATTATCGTGCGCTGTGCCCCAGCCTCGTTCACACCGCCCTCTGGACTTTTCCTTGCGGGCAGCGAATCAAAAAAATGTAACCCCACCAGCGTCCGTAGTCCACTGGCTCAAGGCTCAAGCGGCTTCCTCATCCTGTGTTTATGCACTTCGCGATACTTTCTTGGCTAACTCTTCTCTTGTTCGGGGAAGCAACCGACTTCGGTCTGTAGGATGGCGGCCCAGAAAGCACCCTGCATCATGTGGTGGGTGGCATTGCTGGTCCACCGTGTGCTGACCGCAGTTTCTCTCCAGACGGGGTCCAGTGTCAACGCGACGGAAGATTTGATGATGTCACCCTCAGCTCGGACCTCTACGTGGTCCTGCACTTCGATCGGTGCGAGCAGCTTTTCCGCTCAGCGCGATTCCTACATCTCCGGCACCACCATCGTTGTTACAAATATTGCGAACAGGCAGGTCGGACGAGCATATTACACGTGGGCAAACACGGGGGGATTCAATATCAATTTCGATCTGTACCAGGGCGGTGGATCAGGCGCTGACGGTATGTGCATGAAGTACGGCGGTTTTGATCACGGCGAAGCTGGCGAAAATATTGCTGGTCATGGCTTCTCTGTGTGCTTTGACTCCTACCCAAACTCGGACGATCATGGAGTGGAGATGGGATGGAATGGCGGGATCGTGTTTTCAGAGATAAGCACGGGATACTGGAGTGAGAACGTTCCCCTCTTCGAGGATTCCACTTGGCACAATGTATTTGTTGAGGTCACGCCCAGCGGCAGCGGTGCTTATGTGATATTGAACTATGACAAGGGTTACCATTACAAAACTGCGTGGATACGCAGCTTCTCATCGCCAGTTGGTAGCCAACAGGTGGCCTCACTTCAAGAACTGGTGGTTCTACCAACTTGCACTATGCCAGGAACGTCCAGGTGTGCAGCGTTGCGACTCCAAGCCCAACGCAGTACCCGACGCCATACCCGACGCCGTACCCGACGCCGTACCCAACGCCGTACCCGACGCCGTACCCGACGCCCAGGCCGACGCCCAAGCCGACGCCCAAGCCGACGCCGTACCCGACGCCGTACCCGACGGCCTTCCCTACGCCGTGCCCGACGGCCTTCCCGACGCCGTGCCCGACGGCCTTCCCGACGCCGTGCCCGACGGCCTTCCCGACGCCGTGCCCGACGGCCTTCCCGACGCCCTTCCCAACGGCTTTCCCGACGATCTTCCCGACGGCCTTCCCGACGTCCTTCCCGACGGCCTTTCCGACGTTCCTCCCGACGCCCAGCCCGACGCCCAGCCCGACGTTTCCTCCAGGTTGGCCGACGCCACATCCGATTTTTCCTGCTGGAGCTCCCATGGCAGGTGCAGCCGGAGGCGTCGCTGCTACTGGCGACCCCCGCCTGCAAAACATTCATGGCGAGCGATTCGATCTGATGCGGCCAGGCACGCACGTTCTTGTACATATTCCGCGTGAGATGAGCGCTGACAAGGCAATGCTTCGTGCGCTGGCCGATGCGCGCCGACTGCGCGAAGGTTATGCGGATATGTATTTCCAACAAGTGAACGTCGCAGGGTCGTGGGCAGAGGCCGAGCGATCTAGGGGATATCATTACAGCGTATCGCAAAGCGCAGCCGATGCTCCGGAATGGGTCGCGTTTGGTACGGTTCAGCAGAAAATCGTGCATGGGCGCACGGGCGCTGGCTCCCAGCATTTAAATGTATACGTCAAGCATTTAGGGCGAGCAGGGCTTGCCGTAGGAGGCCTGCTTGGCGAAGACGACCACAGGGGCGCGATGACTCCACCAGCGTCTTGTGTCAAGCATACGTCCCTGTCAGAGAGGCGATCGAGCGGCCAAGATTTTCCCTGTGCGCCGTCGGTTGCAGTGGCAACCTTCGCGTGGCCATAGGGGGCACGTTGGGAAAGGATCTCATGATCATTCCTTGCAGCGACGTATTTCTGTCCACATGCCTTCGCACTGGATCCCACAGAGAGCGTCGTGTGGATCATTTGTCGATCGTCATGATTTGCCACTGCGCGTCGTGGCTCATCTGAAGACAGAGCAGCTGTGTCTGACCAGTGGGCAGGATTATCGGACCAAGGGCCGACCGTGATCTTCGCGCGCCGCGTGGGCAAAAGATCGTAGGCGGTAAGGCCAGGGGCGAGATCCTGGACCCCGGCCTAGACTCCTCCGACCCCATCTCCACTGCCCATCCCTCTCTTGCTTTGTCAAGTTCATCAGCGATTCGGCGATTAGCGAATCTCAATTCTTGATGATTCGCGTGTCCCAACAGGCCTACGTTCCCACTGCGTGCAGCCGGCGTCCCAGGCTGGTACATAGTTGTCTGTCTGGGCAGTTGCTCGGAGCTTGGCGCCGCAAGGGCGACTTACTCCGCAGCTTGCACCTCCGTGTGCGAGGTGCGTCCCAGTGAATGCGGAGCATTTTGCTCAGTGCACGTGCATTGCACGCCTCGCGTGGAATTTGCCTATTCCGCCGTCCCGCACGCGCCTGTTGCCGCCAGACCTTCGTCGCGCGGCCGCCGACCAACAAAAAGTAACCCCACCAGCCCGTCCTCAGACGATACCCAGAGGAGTTGCCTCGATCAGAGAAGTGGGCAGCACGCGCAGGAAGGGCCCCTCTTGGAGCGCTCGTTGGGGCCTCTTGGGGTGCCAGGGGCCTCTTGGAGCGTTTTGGGTGCCTCGGGGAGCCTCTTGGGGCCTCTTGGGGGTCTTCGAGAGCCTCTTGGAGGCCTCTTGGGCGCCTCTTGGGGCCTGCTGGGCGCCTCTTGGGGCCCTCTTGAGGCGCTCTTGGGAGCCTTGGGGGCGTTCTCGAGGCCATCTTGGAGGAGAGCGCTCAACAAAAAAGGGGGGGGGCTCTAATTGCGCCCCCACCCCCCTCGGGGGCCCCAAACATCGCCTCTTAGACCACTCTTAAAGCGCTCTTGGAGCGCTCTTGGGCGCTCTTGGGGCGCTCTTGGCCCTCTCTTGGGCCTCTCTTGGAGCCCTCGTGGGCCCTCTTGGAGCCATCTTGATGCCTCGGAAGGCCATCGAAAGCAAAACGGCGAGAAGGCAAACACATTGATTTCCTTAGGTTTTGAAAGGGCGTTGGCCTCTTGGCGGCCTCCTGGGAAGGCTCCATGGCCACCCGGGGCCGTCTTGGAGCGTCATTGGGGCCTCTTTGAGCATCTGGCGAGCCATCTCGGGGCATCTTGGGCTATCTTGAGCCATCTCGCAGGTCATCTTAGGCTCTCTGAGGCGCTCGTGGAGCTGTCTTGGGTCATCTTGGAGGCTCTAACGCGTCGCGGGACCCCTCGTCTGGGTCCTGGGGAGGGGGGGGGGGGGGGGGGGGGGGGTCAAGACACACTCTAGATAGCAAGCCGTCTAGCGCAATCCCACTCGCCCTCCCAACACATAAGTAAC